GTTGTGGAGGACCAGCTCCTTCAGCGCCTGGACGTCGTCATTCAGCGTCGCAGACATGAGGAACGCCTGGTAGATCTTGGGTAAGTGACTGCAGAGGTGAACACAGACAAATACTAGATGCTGGAGCTCTATCAGGACTTCTGCAGGTGTTAGAATGCTACATTTAAGACTTTTAAAAGACATTTTTAAAACCAAATTAAAAAAAACGTAAGGAATAAATTGAAGGGAATGTCTAGTTGTATTTTCAAACTTTGAAGTGCTGCTAATACAACTTCCAACAGTTCTTCATTTAAAAAAAAAAACTGCTTTCAAACACTAGAATATGGAAATAACTTTTACTGTAGCTTCTGATTACACTGCAAAAAAAAGTGATGCTCTTCATCAGTATTTTTGTCTTGTTTTCCAGGACAAGTATCTAAAGATTTTTAAATCAAACCAGATGCAAAATGACATAAGATAACTTGTTTTCTGAGAAATTAATCAAAATGAATTGAGTTTATGATTAAAAGGAGAACAAATACTAGCCAATAGGCAGAGAAAAATCAACTTAATTCAAAGGGAAACAAGTTTTCATGTCTCACTGACAGATATTTGTTTTCAGCATACATTCACTTCATTTTGCATTTCACATAAATTCATCTTGATTTGAGGATGTTTAGAAATTTGTATTCGGCAAAAGATTTTTTTTGCAATGCATGCAACATTTAATGCCATGATGACTTTATGAATTTAAGACTTTCTGCTCTTTTTAAGCCGTTATTTTGTGGAAAAGCAAATGATTCCTTTTTAAAACCTGCAGAAAACCGCTTTATGTAAAAAAGTGAGATGTATTTACCTTTACAAAACTTGCCGGACATAGTATCTTCTGGAATATAATTCATCTAAAATGTGCTGCGACTTATATACAACAATTAACATGATGCACGCAAAACATGCATAAATTGCACGCATTTGGATTTGTGCTGAATGAGAGGGATACGTGAGCCCAGCTTTATTTCTGCATTTCAGTTTCAGTCTCACATTAATGCCTCTATAATTTATGTTTGCTGTATACTTATATTTATTCATTTCTGTTCTGAATACTGTTGAATTTGAAGGATTTATTGTGGAATGATGGGAACTAAAATACATGCTTATAATGGTTGTAAATATTTCATTTTATTTATCAGTATTTTACATAATTTTTGAATGTAATAATGACACGTGACTTATTCACCGATGCGACTTATTTCTCTCAACGATCCAATTTTGACTCGGGACTTATTTTCTGGTGTACTGAAACTTTACATTAAAAAGCAACAAAAACATTTTTTTAATGGTTTTAGTTTGAGTTAATGATAATAACCCTGCAGCTTTAAGAAAGTAAACAGATTTTGTTGAATTTCTACTCTCCTCCCTCACCTGGAGTGAATGGGCAGCTCAGAGTTCAGGACGCAAGCAGGGATGCTGAACTGCTCCAAGAACAGCTTGAGCCGGTAACAGCGGTCCACGTCTCTGACGAACAGGAGCGACTTCCCTTGAACCAGGCCGAGCTTCAGGAGGGTGTAGATGAGCAGGAACTTGTCCTCCTCCTCACATCGGACGCTGTACTGCTGGAGCTGAGAGCTGTCGGGCAGCTGAGAGCCCTGGAGCTTCAGCATCACCTGCGACAGACGGAGGAAAGCGTCAGATCCAGCCAAACACACCAGCTGCTGACGCTGGACCCGCTGCACTCACAGGGTTGTGGAGAACCAGCTCCTTCAGCGCCTGGACATCGTCATTCAGCGTCGCAGACATGAGGAACGCCTGGTAGATCTTGGGTAAGTGACTGCAGAGGTGAACACAGACAAATACTAGATGCTGGAGCTCTATCAGGACTTCTGCAGGTGTTAGAATGCTACATTTAAGACTTTTAAAAGACATTTTTAAAACCAAATAAAAAAAAACGTAAGGAATAAATTGAAGGGAATGTCTAGTTGTATTTTCAAACTTTGAAGTGCTGCTAATACAACTTCCAATAGTTCTTCATTTAAAAAAAAAAACTGCTTTCAAACACTAGAATATGGAAATAACTTTTACTGTAGCTTCTGATTACACTGCAAAAAAAAGTGATGCTCTTCATCAGTATTTTTGTCTTGTTTTCCAGGACAAGTATCTAAAGATTTTTAAATCAAACCAGATGCAAAATGACATAAGATAACTTGTTTTCTGAGAAATTAATCAAAATGAATTGAGTTTATGATTAAAAGGAGAACAAATACTAGCCAATAGGCAGAGAAAAATCAACTTAATTCAAAGGGAAACAAGTTTTCATGTCTCACTGACAGATATTTGTTTTCAGCATACATTCACTTCATTTTGCATTTCACATAAATTCATCTTGATTTGAGGATGTTTAGAAATTTGTATTCGGCAAAAGATTTTTTTTGCAATGCATGCAACATTTAATGCCATGATGACTTTATGAATTTAAGACTTTCTGCTCTTTTTAAGCCGTTATTTTGTGGAAAAGCAAATGATTCCTTTTTAAAACCTGCAGAAAACCGCTTTATGTAAAAAAGTGAGATGTATTTACCTTTACAAAACTTGCCGGACATAGTATCTTCTGGAATATAATTCATCTAAAATGTGCTGCGACTTATATACAACAATTAACATGATGCACGCAAAACATGCATAAATTGCACGCATTTGGATTTGTGCTGAATGAGAGGGATACGTGAGCCCAGCTTTATTTCTGCATTTCAGTTTCAGTCTCACATTAATGCCTCTATAATTTATGTTTGCTGTATACTTATATTTATTCATTTCTGTTCTGAATACTGTTGAATTTGAAGGATTTATTGTGGAATGATGGGAACTAAAATACATGCTTATAATGGTTGTAAATATTTCATTTTATTTATCAGTATTTTACATAATTTTTGAATGTAATAATGACACGTGACTTATTCACCGATGCGACTTATTTCTCTCAACGATCCAATTTTGACTCGGGACTTATTTTCTGGAAAATATGGTATTATAAAAGGTAATACAGTTAACAAGACACATGCAGGTAATTTGTGTCCCATGCTGTTTTAATGAAAACGTACCACAGCAGGCTTTTAAGGTCCGCTTCAAACCCAAAGGAGAAGAGAAGATCCGCCTCGTCGATGACCAGCATCTCTAATGAAGACTGAAGCTGCAGGTTCTGGCCATTAATGTGGGCTTGAACACGGGACGGTGTGCTCACCACAATGTCCGGCTTCTCCATTAAAATCGGTCTGTAAAAAATATTTCATTACACTTAGAATGAGACTTAAGAGCTTGAATGAGATTAAAACAATTCCTCGATGAACTTGGTTTAACCTGAGCAGGGTTATCGTTAACTAAAACTATAACTATTAAAAACATTTTTGTTAACTGAAATAAAGCAAAATACAAATATTAGTTTAAAAATTTGCACTAAACGAAAATTAGAAATGTTGCCTTGGCAACTAACTGAAATAAGCTTAAATATTAAATGACTAACTTCCAAAAAAAAAAAAGAAAAAAGAAAAAGTAACCTAAATAGTAGTATTGTTAAAAAACAAAAACTAAGAAAAATGACAAAAGCACATAACAAAATTACTAAAACTTAAACAAAAATTAAAACGACAACTAACATGTAAAAATTAAAGCTAATTCAAAATATTAACAAAAACAATGATAGTATATAAATAATTCTAAAATGTAACATTTTTAATCTGTTTTATTGAAATGAGGGTTCCTTTCATTAATAAAACACCCACTCTTAAGTCATTTCAGAGTAAATACATCCATTTCAAAACATATATTAGCAATTTTGATTATAGGTCCTTATGTAGATAGAATTTCTTTATCGGCATTAAAAAAATCTTTTGCTGTGGTACTGACTTCTGTGCCGATATATCCGCCTTCCCAGAGATGTCGGCCACTCGTACGTCTCTGCTGCAGTACGCAGTGAGCTGTCGGATCATGGATTGGACCTGCTGACCCAGTTCTTTGGTCGGGACCAGGACTAGAGCTCTAACGGCCTGCTCACGAACGGTCTGGACACATAAACTGGGTGTTATATATTTGAACTAACTCTGCCATTCAGGCCCAAGTTAGCGCAAATAACTTAAAGCCACGCGTCACCTGTTTAGACATGAGGATTCTTTGGATGAGTGGGATCGCGTAGGCTGCGGTTTTTCCTGATCCGGTTCGAGCTCGGGCCAGCAGATCTTTCCCCTCGAGTGCCAGCGGGATGGCTTTCTCCTGGATGAGGGTGGGCTGAGACCAGCCTAAATCAGCCAGAGCCTGAGAAACAAACAAACACAGCTTCACATCCCAATCACAAGTGGACAGCACTAATAAATACATCGAAAATGTTTTGTGACTTGTGACATCAACATGCAGTGACACAAATCATGTGAAGCACATCTGAAATTCAGTTGTTACAAATTTCCTTTTTTTTACATTATATGTGTATTATTGTAAATTTATATATATATATATATATATATAAGCTCTCCTTTAAACATCAGTTTCTTTCTTGTATAATAGCAAATAATCACAGTTTTACTGTATTAGCTACAGTATTCGGCCAGGAACTATAGTAACCACATAACTAAATATAAAAAAGGTATTTATGGGAAACCTGTTGACACAGAAAGAAACATTGGCATAGATCCTAATAAAATAGATAAGTAATAATGAATAAGAAATATATCGTCATATATCATCTCATACAGAAATGACAGTGCTGATGTTAGCATATAATCACAATGTAACCACATTCAAACTGCACTAAACAAACTGATGAGGTACTACTTTCGAGGTAGACAGACTTTGTATTATTAGCACGACTGTTTATTTTACCTTTAATACCCGATCGTCTAAACCCATCTCATGAAAGTGTAGTCGCTCTTCCTCCATCTTCACACGTGTGTTTGCGCACAGACAGACGAGCGAGACATTAAACCCCGCCGCGTCTCAGCGCCACCCACGGCACTGGAGGAGAACTGCAGGTCAAACCACACGACGTCGCTTTCACACAAACACGACCGCCTCGGAAGAATAGCAAAGTCTAGAAAACAATCCAAGAATTTTTGCGTCACATTTAACGTTTTTGTGCGGCCTTTCATGTTGTATTTCTAACCAAACGCAGTTCAAGGCGTTTCACCTGCAGTTACTCTGACTGACCGCTTGATGCCGCTGATGCGAAACGCCATGACAGAAGACAAACAAAAGCAGCAACGTGGAGGAAAAACAGACCCCGAACGCAAAATACAGGTACGTTTCACCTTTAAAACGCCGCAGCACATGAATGAACACCTCTCCTAATAGATAAGTCCTAAATAAGGATATGTGGATACGAGAAAGATGCATTAAACTGCCGTTCCTGTAATGCTGCTGATGCAGTAGGAAGTAAAGATCACACATGCTGCAGTTGACCTACACAACAATTATTTCACATATTTCATTCGTGCATTTCTATTGTGTATGCATGCATGTGTCCCACAGCACTCAGTATACTTTCTTTTGCATGCAAAGGAGAAAAGAAAATCTGACATGGAGACATATATTGTGTATATATGATGGGAATCTGTTCATTATTATTGTGCATAAAGATACACTTTCTGATGTATTATTGTGTGAACATTGAATGTTTCTGTGTTCAGATGAGGCAGCGTGTGTTCACCGGGGTGGTCACACAGATGCAGGAGCATCATGGGATTGTGGATCAGGAGGTTCATTTCCCTGTGAGGTTTGTGTGTTTGGTTTATTCTGTATTAAAGGCACAATATGTAAGATTTTTTTATTAAAATATCCAAAAACCACTAGAACAGTGTTATATATTTTGCTGACTTGTGTACTTACATTATCCCAAATGTTTCGAAGAACGTTTAAATCCAGAGAAATAAGCAATTTTAACTAGTGACACGGAGCGTGTCTATAGTGTCATTGTGTCGCCTGCCAAATGTCATAACCCCTCGATTTCCGGTTTTGTTTTGTTAAAAACATGGAAATACTAAAGATGCTTTAATATGCTATGCATTTTATTAGACCGGTGACGACTGCACAGAGTAGCATTATAACAGAACTTTCAAATGTATCTAGTATGATAAAACAGCGCTGCTTTACCCCACATACGCACGACCGGAAGCAGCGGAAGCGGTCGACTGTGGCATAATAAAAGCTCCGCTGCTTTCCAGCCGTGTGTCGCGCTCGTTCAGCGGCCTCGTTTCGCTTCGACGGCTTTCAGCCTCACCCTGCTTCATTCTACTACATTAATAAATCATTAGCTCATCCATGAACATGATTTCTGCCCGAGTCCCGTCAGATTGCATCGGCTGTGGGGATGAAGACCACAACTCCCATGATTCCACACTCAGTCACTGCGTCATCAAACTACGCCTTTGTCTATTTGTTTGTTTTGAATACGGGGCCTCTAGTGGCAAAAAATTACATATTGTGCCTTTAATCAGTCATAACCTGTGTCAGGTTGATGTGAGGTCTGAGGTTCAGGAGGGTTTGTGGTTTGTGTCGCAGTGTTGTGGTGGGCCGTGTGCCCCTGGTGGGTGAGAAAGTGTTGGTGAAAGCGGTCCAGGACCCCCTGAAGCCCATCAGCTGGACGGCACAGAAAGTTCAGACGCTGAACGGACAGGTGGGCAGAAATGTTTTGGGCTAATATTTCAATAACATCCTCTTTAAGAAGATAATAGAAATGCACAGTTTGTTAAAAAGCACATTTCTGTGTGCATCTTAGTGTATTTGCATTAGCAATGCTTGTAATACACTATTTGTACAGTACAATGAGAATAATCATTTCGTATAGTTGTACAGTAAATAATGCAAATAATACTTTGTTTTTTTTCTTGATTTTGGACTGAAGTATAGTTCTTGAGGTTCACCCTTATAACTGCTATTCTGTTTTAAAGCGCAGAAATATGAATTTCCACTAAACAAACACTACCTGTCAAAAGTTTGGGGTCTGAAACTTTGTTGAAAGTCTCTTCTGCTCACCAAGGCTGCATTTATTTGTTAAAAAATACAGTAAAAACAGTAATATTGTGAAATATTATTACAATTTAAAATAACTGGTTTCTATGTGAATGTATATTAAAATGTAATTTATTCCTGTGATCAAAGCAGTATTTTCAGCATCATTACTCCAGTCTTCAGTGTCACATGATCCTTCAGAAATCAGTATAATATTCTGATTTGCTGCTCAAGAAACATTTACTTTACTTTACTTTTAGTCATTTAGCAGACGCTTTTATCCAAAGCGACTTACAAATAAGAAAAAGTAATCTTTAAAGTTGTCCAAATGAAGTTCTTAGTGATGCATATTACTAATCAGAAATTAAGTTTTGATATATTTTTGGTAGGAAATTTACAAAATATCTTCATGGAACATGATCTGTACTTAATATCCTAATGATTTTTGGCATAAAAGAAAAATCTATAATTTTGACCCATACAATGTTTTTTTGGCTATTGCTAAAAATATATCCCAGCGACTTAAGGCTGGTTTTGTGGTCCAGGGTCACAAATTATTGATGTAAAATACCTGTCTATCATTCCCAATCTCTCAGTACACTTGAAGGTGTGTCCTTGATATTATGATGGTCTGTTGGTGGTGAAGGACATCAGCACCTGTGGGCACATCTGGACCAGCGTTCTCACGGGCGATCAAACGAGCACTTCCTCTAGTGTCCCTGCATCAAGCAGCTGTGCGTCTCATAAAGGCCATATGTTGTAGACGTCTCTTCACCTCCTCGGATTTCTCTTTCATCCTCTCTCTCTCGCTCTCTTTATTCTGTCTGTAAATCCTCCCGCTCTGTGGACTCCATCTGATAACGAGTCTCCAGTCATTTTCAGGCTTTATTTTATTAGTGGCATTTTATCAAAGACTGAGGTCCTCCGAGATGCTCGTTTGATATTTAATCTTTCCGTCAAGGCCTGGAAAACACTATTACGCGCCGCTGGCTCTATACTGGCGTCTGCGCAGCTCTCGCACAGACAGACTTTATGGATTTTGTCTGTTTGACTATTAAAAAGCTTTAATTGGCTACATTGCATTCATTTATCTCTCGGTGAGATCAGCGATTCCTGCGTGATTTAACTGGTCAGACAAATGGATGAATTCACATAATAGTGTCGTGTTCACAATCATAAATACTGTCTACACTTCCAGTATGCTCATAAAAGCAGTCAAGCCATTTCTTACCTGTTAGTCTCAGGATCAGATGAACTGCACAGGACAATGACAAAAGGTAACTGGAATCTGCAGGTCACATCAGATTAATTACAAGTTGTGTTTACATGTTTAAAAAAACTGCTAAGTCCAAAAAAGAACTTATTGAGGATTTTGAGATTTTTACAGGTTTACCGGTGCATCTCAATAAATTAGAATGTCGTGGAAAAGTTCATTTATTTCAGTAATTCAACTCAAATTGTGAAACTTGTGTATTAAATAAATTCAATGCACACAGATTGAAGTAGTTTAAGTCTTTGGTTCTTTTAATTGTGATGATTTTGGTTCACATTTAACAAAAACCCACCAATTCACTATCTCAACAAATTTGAATACTTCATAAGACCAATAAAAAAACATTTTTAGTGAATTGTTGGCCTTCTGGAAAGTATGTTCATTTACTGTACATGTACTCAATACTTGGTAGGGGCTCCTTTTGCTTTAATTACTGCCTCAATTCGGCGTGGCGTGGAGGTGATCAGTTTGTGGCACTGCTGAGGTGGTATGGAAGCCCAGGTTTCTTTGACAGTGGCCTTCAGTTCATCTGCATTTTTTGGTCTCTTGTTTCTCATTTTCCTCTTGACAATAGCCCATAGATTCTCTATGGGGTTCAGGTCTGGTGAGTTTGCTGGCCAGTCAAGCACACCAACACCATGGTCATTTAACCAACTTTTGGTGCTTTTGGCAGTGTGGGCAGGTGCCAAATCCTGCTGGAAAATGAAATCAGCATCTTCAAAAAGCTGGTCAGCAGAAGGAAGCATGAAGTGCTCCAGAATTTCTTGGTAAACGGGTGCAGTGATGTTGGTTTTCAAAAAACACAATGGACCAACACCAGCAGATGACATTGCACCCCAGATCATCACAGACTGTGGAAACTTAACACTGGTCTTCAAGCAACTTGGGCTATGAGCTTCTCCACCCTTCCTCCAGACTCTAGGACCTTGGTTTCCAAATGAAATACAAAACTTGCTCTCATCTGAAAAGAGGACTTTGGACCACTGGGCAACAGTCCAGTTCTTCTTCTCCTTAGCCCAGGTAAGACGCCTCTGACGTTGTCTGTTGTTCAGGAGTGGCTTAACAAGAGGAATACGACAATTGTAGCCAAATTCCTTGACACGTCTTGTGTGTGGTGGCTCTTGATGCCTTGACCCCAGCCTCAGTCCATTTCTTGTGAAGTTCACTCAAATTCTTGAATTGATTTTGCTTGACAATCCTCATAAGGCTGCGGTTCTCTCGGTTAGTTGTGGATCTTTTTCTTCCACACTTTTTCCTTCCACTCAACTTTCTGTTAACATGCTTGGATACAGCACTCTGTGAACAGCCAGCTTCTTTGGCAATGAATGTTTGTGGCTTACCCTCCTTGTGAATGATTGTCTTGATTGTCTTCTGGACAACTGTCAGATCAGCAGTCTTCCCCATGATTGTGTAGCCTAGTGAAGAGACCATTGAGACCATTTTGAAGGCTCAGGAAACCTTTGCAGGTGTTTTGAGTTGATTAGCTGATTGGCATGTCACCATATTCTAATTTGTTGAGATAGTGAATTGGTGGGTTTTTGTTAAATGTGAGCCAAAATCATCACAATTAAAAGAACCAAAGACTTAAACTACTTCAGTCTGTGTGCACTGAATTTATTTAATACACGAGTTTCACAATTTGAGTAGAATTACTGAAATAAATGAACTTTTATATATTATTTCATTTCCATTTTGTATGTTGAAGTACTGAAATAACTCAAATTAAATAAAACTAAAACTTAATAAAAAACCTATATAGACATAATAAAAAACTAATAAAATGACAACATTACTACAACTGTAACTAAAATAGATAACTAATACAAATCAAACTACATTAGTTTATCAGTAATCCTAAAAAAATAACACTGAGCCAAACGCACATGCTAAAATAACAACAACTTACTGACACATAGTAAGAAATGGTTATAAAAAACTGAAACGGAAGTGAAACAAGTAGTAGGAATTTATTTATTATTATTATGTTGAAAACAGTTGTGCTGCTTCATATTTTCGTGGAAACTGTTATGCATTTTATTTTTCAGGATTCTTTGATGAACAAAAAGATCAAAAGAACAGCATTTAATTGAAATAAAAATCTTTTTGTAAATATCTTCACTGTTACTATTGATCAATGCGTGCTAGCTGAATATGGAAAGGTGGTGTACATGAAATTGTGCACATAAGTTGTCGACTATTTTATGAATTATTTCTAATATTAACATGGGCAAACAATGAATATCTGTAACAGTGAAAGGTTATTTTTGCCTTATAATGAAATTTCAATTTATTAACATTTATATCAACCATCAATATTTGTTCCGTGAAAATGTGAGTCACTACCATGTTGTTAAAATAATATTACAATTTCTAATCTACAATGACAAAAAAATTTTAATGTTTGGTTTCAAGATGCATGTAAAGATGCTGCATAATTAATGACATGAGTGTATAATGTTATTTTTTTATGCCTGATCTTCAGAAGGTTTGTCTCTTTCTCTGGTTTCTTTCTGTCAGCCCTTCAAATCTCCTCCTCCGCTGCTGCCCTCCATGTCATCTAATCCGAAGCCTGGCATTTTAGGGACCAAACCGCAACCTCTGCTGAAATCTCCCAAAATACCACCACTGATTCCCAGCATGCAGCCGAATCCTGGTACGTGATGCAGTGTTGTTATCGTTAACTAAAACTGTTAGGAAACATTTTTGTTAATGGAAATAAAGCTAAAATAAATTACATCATAAATATTAGATTAAAAAAACTTGGGAAGTACAGTGCTGGTCAAAATTAATTTTTCAATGTTTTAAAAAAAAAAAGTATCTTCTGCTCACCAAGGCTGCATTTATTTGATCAGAAATACAATAAAAACATTACTATTTTTTAAATTTAAAACAGCTGTTTTCTATGTGAATATATTGTAAAATGTAATTTATTTCTATGATGCAAAGCTGAATTTTCAGCATCATTACTCCAGCCTTCAGTGTCACATGATCCTTCAGAATGATATCTAATATTTAGCGGTCTGATATGCGACAGGTGGTATGATGCAAATGTCCTGGAGCGGTCCGTTTGATGGTTGGGCTGGAGGACGGAAGAGACACGCTGAGGTCATGGGAGGACGCAGAGGTGGACGCTGGTGAGTCACACTTTCAGTGGATAGTAGCGTGCTGCATACTGTGCACTGTCTACTGTATACTGCATGCTGTAAAAAAAAAACTATGCAGTATGCAATGATTAAATGCTTTTAAACAGCCTTATGCTACATTGACCACACTACATTGCAATTTAATTTGGCTCCAAATCTCAGGTAGAAATTGTCATTTTTGACCCCCTCCCTTCAACAAAATAGTGGATCGGAAACTGTGATACATTTTATTTTTAAGGATTCTTTGATGAATAATTTTTTATTTGAAATAGAAATCTTTTGCAACATTATAAATGTCTCTACTGTCACTTTTGATCAATTTAATGCATCTTTGATGAAAGTATTGATTTCTTTCAAAAACTTTCGAACTTTTCAGTCTGATTTGTTTCAGCGCCTCATTCTGTTGTTTTTGTGTGACCGTCCTTGTAGACTGTCCTGTTTTTAACGTGCTCCTCTGCTGACGCTTGTCCTTGTTGCTCTTTGTGGCGTGACTCAGGGAGGACGGCGGCGGAGGGCCGTGGGGAGGAGACGCCATGCACCAAAAACGAAAAAGATGGAGGACCGCCTCAGAGGAGGAAGTGCCCAAAAAGAGCAGCTCCGTATCCACACACAGTGCTCCGTTATTCTCCAGTTTCTCCAGGGACACGTAAGTCGGTCCGAAACAATGCGGGACGCTCTGATGAAGCGTAAACTCATTGTCATTTCCTCTTGATTCTTTCAGCAAGGCCTGTGATTATCTGGAGCTTCAGCGGCGGTACCCACACCTGCACCTGCCCTCCAACCTCTTCCACCTCCAGCTGTCCTGGACCGAGAGTTTCCCACTCGACCAGCCTCTTCCTCTGAGAGGACCGTGTCACTTTCACGTGGGAGCAAACCAGCCGGAGAGTGAAGCAGATGTTTGCGAGTCCACAGATGATGCTTTCGCCGTTAGGGTACACGTGCCGCTCTTTTGACGGATCATGTGACCATGCAAGGCTCAGATTCTCAAGAATGGTTGTGTTCTCTCTGCAGGTTCTGTTGTTTTCTATGCCGTGCCTTGAGGACTTGTACTCGCAGTGTTGTAACCTCTCAAAGGAGGCCGTACATCCCACTACACTTCTCAAAGTAAGAACATTCAGTCCTCAACATCTCTGAAATCACACGCTCTTCAAAATAAAAGTTCTAAATAGTGATGTCATAGAAGAAGAACTTGGTTTTTCTTAGTTTAAAGAACTTTTAAATAATCTATAAAGAATCTTTTTTTGCAATCAAAAGTTTCCATGGATGTCTCTTGTCTTATTGTGAATGTTGCATGTAATTCTAAAGCCAAATAATATTCATAATCGGCAAGTCGACTGCTTTTCGGCTGATGTAATCAAGGCTGTACAGGGGGAAATAATATTAAAGGGCACCTATTATGCCCTTTTTCAGAAGATGTGATACAAGTCTTGGGTGTCCCCAGAATGTGACTGTGAAGTTTCAGCTCAAAATACCCCACAGGAAATGCCCGTTTTGAGTAGAAGTTTTCGTGCCTGTATCTTTAAATGAGTGTTATGTATAATTGTGTCGCTGGCTCTTTCTCTGTGTTGTAGTTTGTGATGCTGGACAGTGGAGGTCAACTGCGGCTTCCAGGAGGTCACTGGTCACCCAAAGCAGACGGAGCGAATCCAGTGAAGGACGGTTCGACACTGGTCAACACTGCGGTCCGCTGCATAAAGGATCAAACCGCTCTGGACCTGTCAGCCTGCACGCAGTGGTCTCTATATTTGGTTTTTAATTTCAGTTCAATACAGTTAAGATTTATTGGTCTGCCGAAGCGGGTTGAATTGTGATTGTTTATGTACAGAAAGTCTATAAGTAACATAATAATTAGAAGAATGTAGAATGTTATTAGAATGTAAAGCATAAACTATTTATTTGTAAGTTCCCTAAATAAATGATTTACAGTTTCATATGTAGAAAAATGCATTTTTAATTACATTTTAACACTACCGTTCATAATTTTGGGATCCATAAGGTTTTTTTTTTTTTTAAAGAAATTAATACTTTTATTCAGCAAGGATGCATTAAATTGATCAAAAGTGACAGTGAAGATATTTATAATGTTACAAACATTTCTATTTCCAATGAATGCTGTTCTTTTGAACTTTCTATTCATCTGTGAATCCTGAAAAATAAAATGTATCCCAGTTTCTACAAAAATATTGGGCAGCACAACTGTTTTCAACGTTGATAATAATCAGAAATGTTTCTTGAGCAGCAAATCAGCATATTAGAATGATTTCTGAAGATCATGTGACACTGAAGACTTGAGTAATGATGCTGAAAATACAGCTTTGATCACAGAAATAAATTGCATTTTAAGATATTCACATAGAAAACAGTTATTTTAAATTGTAATATTTCACAATATTACTGTTTTTACTGTATTTTTGAACAAATAAATGCAGCCTTGGTGAGCAAAAGAGACTTCTTTAATTAACTTGCAGACCCCTAATTTAGTCTAATGTTTTGATTATGTAAATATAAGAAATACCTCACTTTTTGTCTTTTATATATTCATTAGTAATTTTCACGTATGTCTTTCTGTCTCTGAAGGCACAAGATAGCGGAGCTGAGATATCTTTCCGGAGATAAAATGGAGACGGTTGTGGTGTTGTTGCCAGATGTGTGGAATCTAGTGCCAGCAGAAGAAGACTGGGCAAAATTACCACAAAAACAGCTGGTACAGACTTAGCTATGACGTCAGAGTCTATAAATATTACCACAAAAACAGCTGGTACAGACTTAGCTATGACATCAGAGTCTATAAATATTATGCATTAGAAATATGCTTGAAATCACATCAGAGATGACTTCTAACTTGTCTGTATCTTTCCTGTCATCCAGGATGGTGATTTGTCACTTCCAGAAGGTCCGTCTGTGGTTTTTCACCCCTCCGCTGGACTCAATCTGTCTGTCGTGTCTCTGTCGTCACTGCTGGAGCCCCAGACGCCTCAGACGCGGGACAGCTGTGAGGTGGGTACTTTATATATATATATATATATACAGTGGGTACGGAAAGTATTCA